ATGAATTGATCAATGAATTAAAATTTATCATCCTCTCAGATATAAGGATAGAAAAATACTAGGGAGGGGTACATGAACTTTGTTTCAAAACATTCCATCATTGTTTTGAAATGTTTATTATTGGTACTGTTTTGCAATAATTACTTGCAAGTTCTACTGTTGTAGTTTATGAAAAGCTAATGGCTTCAAATTTGTACTTAAGTATTTATATTATTCTCCTCAAAAGTCACTCAGAAAATTGTGTTATTAAGAATCTTTCTTTCCATTTCTTGCAATGTATAATTTCACTTATTTGAAACCAATTATTGGGAATATTTTGCCAGATGGCCTAAATTTATTTGCTTTATGTGTGACTTCCTATTATTTCTACTTACTGTTGCTTTTACAATTTTTGTTGTGGAAAGTTATCACACTATGATTGGTGATATTTGTGTGAAGTCCAAAGTTAATAAACAACTCGAAATGTGGGTACATAATTACTATCAATTTCTTCGCAAACTTGATGAAGGTGGAAAGTTTGACACAAACCTGCTGTGTTGCCAATTTGTGATGAGAGGGTCAATAAACTCAGTATTAAAGACATTTGTATATTTTTTCACCTTTATGAACAATCAATGGGAAAGTTTAATTGTGGGCAGTATTTACTCCCCACCCCAGGACTCAAATTTACACAAAACTGCAAGGCACAGCACTTGCATCTGAATTATTTTTTCGGTTGTTATCTTCCACGACAGGGGATTGAAACGAGATTATGACGCTCGTAGGCAGGCCCTGGGGTAGGGTTCATTTTGGGGAATTACCAGCAGACGAGGTAATCGAGCGTCGTCGTGCGGACTCGTAGCTCGTCCCGTGATCGTAATCTCACCCGCGGTAGTTCAGCGCATACAGTCGGCTTTGCGTAAGAGCAAGAGGTGGGGGGGAGAGTGGAAGTGCGAGAGAGAGATCCTTACAATACCTTATCGTTGTTTGGTTGGACTGATGGTGCTGTTTGAAGCGACTTGGTGACACAAATGGGTGGGTGTAAAAAACAAGTTGAGATAAGATTGTACCGAAAGGAGCTCGACCTTGATTGGGCGCAGTGCCTTTGCGTTTTGGCAGTTCTGCATTTCATAGCCCTCGATTACAGTTTAATAGCCGTTGACATTGATATAGACATCTTGTTTGTTGCCGATCTTCACTTCAACAAGTGTCATGGCCCTAAAAACACCGACTCTGAGGGTGGACCGAAAGCAGTTGAAATGCCCCCCTTTGGAAGAAGTAGCAACAGGTGAGCGAGCTCCACGACTCTATTATACCATTATTCGATGACTTTTTCTGATTATCTTGGAAATTATTTATTTTAACTTCCTGATTTTTTAAAAAGAATTTAATTAGTGTTTGTTAGTTACATGTAACTGTTAAAAGTCTCAAATAAATGATACCTGTTCTCATTTTTTGCAGTGTTGTCAAAAGGACTTCAGGATGTTTTTTCTCATGTCTCGGTGGAGGTTGTTGATTGCCCTGATCTCACTCAACAGCCTTTCACCCTGGCTCGACAAGGTTAACAGTTAATTCCAATTCAGGTAAAAATAAATTCACTAAATAATAAATATATTTTTGAATGCCTTGCACTAGGTCTTGGAGGAAAAACCGCTTTGGTTGAATCGGGTGGCGTGCCATTTCTGCTTCCTCTTGTCAACCGTGAAAAACTATATGAAATGCAAGATTTTGGAAAGCTCACAGGTTTGGAATCCTTCCTTATCATTGGAGCAGGAGCTGGACCATGGCCTCACGCGGGCACAAATTGTGAGGTGACTATTAAATGTCTTTTCAACTTCTAGAATGATCATGTTTTATGGAAACTTGTCATCTAAGGTTGTTTGTTTATTTTTTAACATCTAATTCAAGCTAATGGCAAACTTATCTGTTGACGGTAACAAAGTTGATAATCAAAGTCGAATTGCAAAAGTAGATCCGAAAGATAAGAGCTGCTTATTGGAAACACTGCCTGAAAAAGAAACTCGTCACGCCCTTCTTGGTAATTTATTCTGCACCGAAGGAAAGCCAGGCAAGGTAACAATGAGTAAAAGAAACTTGACATCTTAAATTTTTGAGTGCTCCCGTCAGTAATTCTTACACAAGGCAATGATGGCTACTTGGAACAGGTTCTCAAAGTTCATTGTCGTCATCGAATCGGAGAGGATGACTTTGTCACAAGCTTACGAAAAGCACTAGCGTCTCATTACAAGAATGAGGCCGTTGGTATGGATTTTATAAGCATATTTTATTTTAATCAGTGTCTGCTAAAGCGATTTTTTTTAACTAGAGGATGTTTTTCTCAGGACTTGGTGGAACATTTCTTCTGAAAGAGGGCAAGGCCCGTCAGCATGTCATGCCAGACTTCTCTCTCACTCCTTTACACACTGAAGAAGATCTGTCAAAATGGCTGAGATTTTTCAATATGTCCGCTCCATTAATTGCTGTTGGAACTCTAATTTCTGCTGATCCAGTATGTTGATAAATAATTGTTCATGAAAGTAACATAATGTTAGATTCAACATTGTTTTTTATTATTTTATTTTATTTTATTCAGGGTCTAGATCTCCGTGTTCAACATTTCCACAGTTTTTCTCACCATGGAGAGGGTGGACATTACCACAACGATACAACTCCAAACACAGCGGAATATTTGGGTTACTTTAATCTTGGTGAATCTGTTATTCGTGTTGATGCTCCCATTGAAACTCACCACATTGGAAGAGATTGAAAAGGAATAATGTTACAGTTTTGTTGATTTGTTTTTGAGCAAATAAGAACTGTTTTAGTTCAGTTGTTCCTGATTGTGCCTTATAATTTTAACTTAAAGAATAATGTAGCTCACCTTAAACGTTTTACGAGTGAATGTCGATAGGTTTATAGATGTTTTATTTCAGATAGACCTTTTTTACTTAGTGCCATGTTTTTTAATGTAACTGCACTCAAAATTTTACAACTTGGGGGAAAAACGGTATCGAATGATTGAATTGTTTTGTACAGTAGAGTTGGTGAGTTTGCACCACCTTGACCTCTACAAAAAAAAATAATTGTTGTTTCTTTTTAGTGTAAAGTCTATTTTTGACATTGAAAAGGGGTAAATTTTTGTTTTTAAAAAATCCTATCCAAAAGTTGTGTTTTTGGTTTGTTCTTCTCCTTACCCTGCTCCTGCTGGTTTGGTCCATCGGACTAGCTTAGACTCCCTCACTTTTAGGCGAGCATTTGGACCAACTTTTCGGAATATCCAGAAAATGCATTATGGTCTTTAGAAAACATTTGCACCAAGCAGGCCAGACTTACACTCTATCCAGCTATTTTTTAGGGCCACTTCTGCTTGTTTCAGAAGAAGTTTGTACAGTTGACCAGTTCACGCCTACTTCCTTACCCTTGGTACGAAAAGACCGTCAGTTTGGGAGCTATGTGCTTCTTCAAGTAATTTACCTTCTTTACATATGGTCATTAGCTAGATTATATTCTGGCCTTTACAATCTGAAAATTATTAGAATCAAATTCAATGTTATTGACCTGTTTCCGGCTCATTTTGGTTGAACCTGAGTCCTCAGTAATATGGTGTTTTCATTGGCACCTCATGCTATGGGCGGCTTGGACAATAGATGCTGTCTGGAAACAAAATTAAGTTGGGTATAGCTTCGATCTTACACTGGAATTAGGAAGAGAAGCCTGAAGTTAGCAGTATTTTATCATTAATAACCGGGCAGCGCCCGGAGGTATTGAAATGCGCCTATAAGGTAACACATTTTCGTTACATTTAATACGAATTCCCACATCAAATGCGTAAGAAATATGTTACCTTTTATGAGCATTTTAATATGCTTATGCAATGTGTATGGGCGCTACTAGGGTATCTGAGCATCTGAGTTCTTCAGTGGCACAGGTTTGTCTGATGCTAACCGAGCAGGGAATCCGGTTCAGAGTCAGGCGGGTACAGTGTGATGATGACCGTACGAGGTGCGGTGCCCTTAGTTGCGATCGTGAACTCCTCCCCGATGACATCCAACATAATCCCTACTACCAAGGGGTCTTCGCCCAGCTCCTGCTCGCTCTACGACATATCAAAACAAGACTCCCATCGAATCAAACCAGATATCGAATGATATTACGAAGAGCTAGTCCTCATTAAACCAACCAACTCCTTGCTGAGGGTTGGAGGAGGGTAAACTGGGCGCATTTCTTCAGATTCGAGGGTGGCCCTTTCCAGGACCACAATTTTGTAGGGCACCGAACTTTGTTGCAACCACTTGATGGGTACCTTAGCCGGAGCGGCCTCTCCTCTACAGCAGATCTTTAAAACAACAAAGTACTAAGCTTGCCTACTTAATCTATCCTCTGATTGTATGAAGTAAATGAGGGGAATTACCACCGACGAACTCATTCTGCGCTGTGGCCATATTACTCCTGATGTCAGGCAGTTCTTTACAAGTCGAAGACACCGCATTTCAATCGGCGAAATTGGCAGGCTCTTCGTCTTAAATCATCTTACCTGTGAAATTCAATAATTACACCTCACGCGAAACCTTCAAGTCTCCTTGGATACCACTGTCTAGAGAACTACTCATAAAAAAAAAAAAAAAAATACAGAGAGATTTTCACAACTTTCGTAGAGTAACTGTTGCCATTCTTTATGCACATGGGTCAATAAAAATAACAAGCCAACATGAAGAATGAATGTTTCAATTTTATTGAATCAATTGTCTATTGCAAAATATACATAGGTATAATGACAATAGCCCAGCCAATGTGAGTAAAATGAGACAAAAAATGGTAGCTTCAAGCTCCACAATAGAAACACTGGTGGGTTTGGCTTTTAATTCCTGGCAGGGTGATGCAATGGGATGATATAATGAGGGGAAGCGTGTGGGTGACAGACTTCAGCCCATCCGCACAATCAGCTTCGAGATCTTCAGTCACTAATTTTACGCAGTCAAGTATAACGTCTTAATGAAGTATCAGGTGAAAAAATAATACATCAGACATGCTTCTTACTATTCTCAACATGCGGCTTTCACACTTGGATCCGCTCCAAGAACACATAACACAGAATAATATTTTAATCAGATGATTTAATTAATAATAACTAAGAACACAAAAATAACACACCCACTTCATTCAATTTTCCACGCGATACAGGTAAGGTACTAGCTTAAAGAGAAATCTGAATGGAAAACCAATTTTGATTTTGCATTCTTACGACTAGTAAAGCCTTGTTTGTCAAGTCTAGTCTATGCTAATTCTAGGTGGTCATGTGAACTAAAATTTATACCAATTAACAGATAATGATGAAAACTGTGGCAACGCAAGAATACTTTGCAGACATGACATTGACTTCTGTTGGCATAGCTGATCTCAAGAAAGGTAAATGCATCATAGCTACAGATAGTCAGGGCTGAGCACAAACTTTCCACAAGGCTTTACTCGGGTCAGAAGGACAAAACACAAGAGCACAATGTTCTATTTTCTGATTTTTTAAAAGTATCCTTAATAGTTCCAGATGTACACAGCTTCTTGAGCACTGCATGTTCTTTAAAATGTTTTGTTCAGTAAGTAAGATCCATAAAACTGGTGGCAGAACAATTTAGGCTTACGTCCGTCTATAAGGGTGGAAACTCTGGCTTTGAGTAGGGGCTGTGTAGTTACCACCGCGTTGTGGTCCTGGCCCGCCCGTGTAGCCTCCTGACGCTCCCTGTCCGTCACCCTGACCTGTTACACACGCACCACACGCACAATTTGTAGCAACGGCCTGGCTAAAATGCCAAATGGCATATAAAACAGTTAGATAAAACAGATTAGGAAGCTACAGAAATATCATGAATGAACTTGAGGAATTAATTTGTTTGCATTCTTCAAAGACATCAATAAGCTTGTGCACTTTAACACCAAGTTAGAGAAATAACAAGGACAGGAACCAGGCCAAGCTACCAACAGAGATGGATTATACAATACATGTGTAATAAAGCACATTCTTCCAAAATGCCAGATGAAAACAAGATGCTACAAGATTTTTTCCTGGTCTATCATTCTGAAAAAAACCATGGCTTTGATTCCAGGGGAAACAAATTACTACTAATGCTAATGCAACACCAGCATGCATTAACTCCAGTCTTCTAGAACAAATTACGTTCAGGGAATGAAGTGGATAAAAAACAAATTTAATAATAGAATGAAGATTTTCCATGCATTTTCCCTATAGACGTGAAATAAAAGTGAGAACAAAGGCCATTGATCGGGGTTCAAGTTCATTCATGCAGTATTTAAGGAGACTAATTATACATGAATAAAGAGACTGCTAATAGCTTGTAAGTATTGAACAATTATAAGAACTTACTGGTGACAAGAACTCTGATGTTTGGAGAGCATTTCCGTGAGTTAGCTTGAGGACAAAAGAAGCAGGAACAAAGGTTAGCAGGAATGATTCAAAAATCCAGCACTGTCATGACACACAAGCTCTCTTCCAAACATATGGTTCTGATAAGATCTTTGCACTCCGGCCATGCAATGTCCACAGCCTACTCTAAGACCTAATTCATGAATATTCCACATTTGACACACAACTCATTTGGAAATAGATAGTAAAATATCTGAAGAAATGTAGAAAAAGCAGCTTTAAGGAAAGAAGACAGAGGAATTTGTGAAAAGGCATGTAAACCTGACAGACTTTTGAAAATTTATCACATGCTTTTCTTGTGTATGTTACTGTGGTTTAAGGGACAAGCAACTAGGTTGTTCAATTAAGTGAAGCTTTGTCACCAGCACATTTCACACGTGTTGTCTAGCCTATGGAATAGCCCTAACCTGTGTACCACTAATAGGGACTTTGACATGTGCAATTACGAAGGATGTTAGATCACCCCAAATAGGTCTGACAAGCAGCAGCAGTTAACCTCACTCAATGGCTAATGCCCAATAGCTACTGGTGTTGCACTAAATTGTTCTAAGAGCAAGGACTTGAGTGAATATATTTTAAGATTCACAGAGAGAAAGGTCAGTTATGACTGTACGCTTTATCAGTTAGATAAGCCTTACTTACGCCTTCAAAGAATTTTGGAGCTTGCAGTACTTGAAAAACTGCTTTTCCATTGGTATGCTTGTGAACAGAAATGCAGTTTTTCCAAATTAGGATTTTATCCTAAAATTAAAAAAAAAAAAAGGAAGCTTTATGGAACTGAAACTTAATCTAAAGTGACTGAAAATTAATTAGCTTTGTAACACTGCAAATTCTTACAACTACACAAATTTTAAAAATGAAAGTTAATTGTAAATTAAACAGAATGAACAGAACAGTGCTCTTTTATGCTTTTCCTTAAATTGAGACCCACACGAGTGTGAATAGCTGGACACAGAAGAAATGTGTGCATGTCTTGTGATAACATTCCAGTTTAGTTAAAATCATGGATAGATGTGCTGACTTTAGGTAGTTTACTGATCTGCCTGCATCATATATATGGTTTGGTATATAATTTTAAGCCAACCCTATCTTTCATGCTCAATCCAGAACGAATTCAATTAAAAATCTATGACACTTAAATGCAATTTCACCTGATATCGCTGAGGAAAAACAAACTAATTTTAAAAAAAAAGATAAATGGAAATGTCTGAGGAGGTTAAAAAAAAACCTGATCTTCAATTATAAACAGTGATAGGTCTTGCAAAGTTACTTCAACAATACTGATAAAACAGTGTGCAGTTCCAGATTCCACCCTCTTATGAATTAACAAATTTTCTTTTGTAGTAACCTATGATAAGTTAGATATAAAGCACACCCCATTGCATCAAATAAAACTAATGATAATTACAACTAATTATCACAGGTTTCCTTTCAATTTAGACTAATGAGCACAATGTTCTATACAGCTATGGTAAAACTTGACATATTGTTTGTAGCCTACACTGCAGATGTATAACTATGTAACTTAAATTGTAGTTTTGGTCAAACGTTCTGAGCTTGAACTGTACAATATTAAGGCGTTCTTATAATATCCTTAGTCAAATACAGATAATGCAAGTACCTTACAGTCTTCGGCTAGACATACCACATGCTTATTTCTGTGACGAATAACTGATGAGCTGAATTGTCAGCTCTTTGAACCAGAAAATTGTAACAAGTCATTCTTGTTTTTTTTCCAAGTTTTTTTTTTTTTCATCTAATGGGTAATATTGCTTTATACCATTTATCTACAACACTGAATGAAAAGATGTGTACGTCTACACGTCTAATGTTAATAGACATAATGGACTTTAGAGCTTACATGGATCAATGATTAATATTGAAACCCTACAACACCCAAATAATCTGTCACTGCCCTCCTTGGAGGTGTACAAAAAATTTGCTTCACTCTTTTCTACAACCTATTTCACTTAACACTCAACAAAATCTCAGCTAAAGCAGGATGCTTATGAACAATGTTACCTTGACAAAATGTGTTAAAGATATATCACAATTTTTAAGATGTGGAAAGCTAAACATAGATTCATAGATAGATGCTTTTACATATAGAAAGTGTATGTGTATAGATTTAAATATAATTAAAGAGAAGAACTGAGAGCCCTAGAGGTAAGATTACAAAGATAGCTGACTCAAAACTAAATAAGCCCCACTTCCCTATCAATTTAGACTGAAAATTTCAGATGTATCTTACTAGATAGTCCCATGAGCGGCAAATTATGAACATGAATGCAAGACATTGAGGCTTGAGGGTGCATTAAAGTTTCGCTCCATGCAACCACCAAGCACGAAGCGACACTGATCTATATAGCCAGCAACCAATGATCAGCCAGAGAGGCATTCCGTATACGTGACCAGTGCTGTTAAAATTTTTAACCTGCGAAGTCAACTCCCCAGATCACAGATTACTATAATCTACCTAGATTTAATTTTAATAGTCATCCTATATCATCTTTATATTTAATTTGTAATATTAATATCACTGGATTTTAATTAAATGAACTTCGCAGGTTACAGTGCTGCACTTGCATACAAGAAAAAGTTAACTTCTACCTCTTAACCAACTGATGCACTGAGTTAATAATTTCATTAAAGGTCAAGTAATCAGTTAAAAATGTTGAATCATGGAGCGTCACTGATGTGACGGTGTGAAAGTTTAAATCGATACTCACAACTTAGAAAGGCCCTTAACATTAAGAATGAGGAAACACATTAAAGCACTCCGTAAGTTAGGTGTGTAGTAACCAAATTTAAGAAAAATCAAAATAATGAGGGCACGGACCAGTTTTTGTGCATGTAACAGTAATTCATAACAGTGCGAGTACACCTAAGGCCCCCTAGTACAAAGTATGCAGCTACCACTACCCATTTGCTGAAAAAGGACATCATCATCACCACCACACATGAAGAGCCAGACACACATATTGAATATATATATATGTTGAATATATATATATGTATATATATATATAGGTAAATATATAAAGGTAAATATTAAATAAGACATGAAAAGTAACTGAAGTCAGCGATACTTCGCACGACTAGAGTACAGGATGCAATTCAAGCTGTGAGAGAAGCAAAGTAATCTAAGACACCTGCATATATTAGCTTTAACTTTAGTCACTTTAACTTGTCCTCAGAACTTAAATAGGGGGCCTAAGTTAGTACAAGCAGTGCCAGAATTGAAGATATCTGGGAACACCATTAGCTGGTGCATGCAAATGTTTATCAGGGATGGTGATTGGAGGCAAAAAATAGTCTCGAAGTCTGATGCACAGAAAGCTCTTTACTTCAAGGTCTATAGAGTACAACATTAGATCTAAAGGAAACTTTTCATAGCAAGAAAAATCCTACCTTGCTAATTTTGCTAATGAATTATGTATATGTACGTATGTACTATCTCAATCTTAAAATGAGTGACTGTAATTGGTATTATGCTAGTATCCTGACTTACTATTAGGACCTATCAAAATTTGTACAAAGTTGACACAATTATTATCACTGCCGCATGGTTCTCATTTTAGCAGACTTCTCATTTTTAACAAGAACAAAAGTGTAAAATCTGCTTATTGCTCCCAACGTGGCATCTCTTAACACTACACAATTAAAATCGCTGTTTTCCACAGGAAGTGACCACATAATATATTAGGGGACAAGTCAAAGTAACCAATCAGTTAAAACTAATAATTCAAGTCTTAAAATCTTAAAATTTCCTATGGTTCTGTATTTACATCAGTTCAAAAAATCCATCCAAGCTAAAATGTAAAGTTTCTTAATTAGATAGGTACAGTTGTACATAATTTTTTTTTTCATAATAGTTCATCTGAGCATGAATGAAACATGATTTTTTTTCTATTTTAATAACCCTCACCCTTGGGCACTGCCAATCTGACCCAAACTAAAACAAGAAACCGCTATGGTATTCAATACTGTTACAAACAAAACAAACTTATGGTTCCTTGCACCTAAAATTGTAAAGCTCATATTTTACATATATGCAAGTGCTGTTAAAAAGCAGGTTGACAATTCATTTATAAGGTTCTATAAAATGGCAATGAGAAATATATATATGAAAATAATATTTTCAACAAAATAAAATAAAAACAATTAAAACGAGCTACTGTCTGGCAGTTCAGGCAGTCAGCTAGTGCAAGTGCCCAGGGCCTCGGGGCACTGCTGGTCTTCAGGGTGGTCATGACGAAGGCCACTCTTTAAACCCTTCAAACCCTTTCCCACCTGGGACTGAAGGGTGGCTGGAACCATAGCCTCCCCCACTTGAGTTGGATCCCGCATCTGCACCATAACCCCTATTGGCGCCGTAGCTGGTGGAGTCCTGTAACAAAACACGTCCGCTGGTGGTCAGCACTTACACAAAGATGTACAATTTATATGAGTGATTTGCAAAGCCCCAATTCCAGGTTTCAAATAAAAAGCCAAGCCTAAACCATGATCATTTGGTCCCAAAAGTAGTTAGGATGCAGCAACAGAAAGCACATTAACTGGTTTGTAAGTGGTCAGACAAGAAAAAGTTCTTATGGCATAAGCTCATTTTGAAGGATAAAGAAGTGTTTGTAACAGTTTCTTTTCATTGCAATGTCACACACAATGAAAGATTCACAGGGAGGTAAGGGGGTTAGTCAAATTTAACGGCAACTACAGGAGGAAGCCCAAGTTTTACAACCCATAGTGGTGTAAACCAAACATAAATTGAGTGATAGATTTTTGGTCTACAATTCAAACCAAGGAGCATGCACTAGATGGTCACAAGCACTCATTATAATAAATTGCATTTTAAATCTGATATGGAGTTGCTCCAGGACGATTTCAATCCATATAGCTGCTTGCAGACTTGACATTAATTGTACTTCAGAATTAAAATGACAAAAATAAGGGTGTGAATGTCAACTTACTGCGCCATAGCCACTGCCGCCGTATCCATAACTAGCATAATCAGCACCAGCTTTCTGTGCTCCTCCAGCACCAGGAGCAGCAGGTCCAGGACCTGATGGTGTAGCAGCGCCTGCACCCGTTCCTCTGGAGTACATGTCAGCCTGTGGACCGGGAGCGCCTGATGGTCCTTGAGGAGCTCCTCCAGTTGGTGGACCGTTTTGGGGCATATTCCAGTTCCAGTTTTGGCCATATCCAGACTGTGGTGCACCTTGAGGGCCTGCACAATTCAAATTTACAAATAATTTGACACCAATACCAAATAATTAACAACACCTAAGATGTAAAACATTCAAATAATTTTTTACCATACGAACTGTAGCCCTGCTGTTGAGGAGGACCACCGTAGTTGGATCCCCACTGCGGAGCCATGCCTTGTCCTTGAGGGCCAGCCGGAGCACCCCAACCTTGATATCCAGCTGGGCCTGATGGAGTACCATATCCTGCTAAGAATTTAAACCATTATCTAAGCACCACAACCACCTCAACCATTTCACCAGAGAAAGACTTTAAAAATAGGGAGGCAACATTAGATAAAGAATAGAAAGAGCTAATGCCACCTGAATAAGAAAAAGCTACCATGACCCTACCAGTTCTCACACTCTTACCATTAACAGGGGGCTGGTTTGAAGTTGGGCCCCACTGTCCAGGGTATCCCTGAGCTTGAGTATTACCCCATCCTTGGTATCCCTGCATCATGTTGCCAGGTCCCATAGGTCCCATAGGACCACTCATTGGGCCACCCATCTGGCCATTAGGTCCGCCCATTCCCATGCCCTGCAAATAATTTAAAAAACCATGTTACATTTCATTTACACCACTTTAACAAACGAATTGAAGTGCAGTGCATAATACAGGTTTTGGATGGATACTTACGCCACCACCCATGCCCATCTGGGGGCCACCTTGAGGTGGACCCCAGGAGTTGTCACCACCCATCTTGTTAGAGGAATCTCTTGGTTCAGCTTTTTTAATTTCCACCTACGATTTGGAGTCAGTGAGTATCATGGTAAGAGTGACAGCAAGTAAAAAGACAAAAAAAAATATTTACCTGCTTCCCATTCAGGTTAACAAAATGCTCTGACACACAGCGGTCAACTGCATCGTCATCCTCAAAGGACAAAAAGCCAAACCCTGTCAAGAAATACACAATTTAGTTTTAAAGTTTCACAACCAAACTGAATCAGCTGAAAAAAATGACAAATACCTCTGGACTTTTTCTTCTCCTGATCGTACATAATCACTACTTCCTGAACTTTCCCAAAGCGTGTGAAGAAAGAGCGCAAATCCGTTTCAGTGACATTAGATGGCAAGCCCCCCAAAAAGACTTTGGGGTAGCTGCTAGCCCTCTTGGGCTTCTGAAGTGTCCTTGGGTTACATGGCTTGGGATCAATCTAAAATAAAGCACAAAAAATAAGAATTAATTGGTTTTGACTTAAAAGAAAGGTACAAATCATGAATGATATTGCAGTAGAGGGAGAAACAACTCACAGTTCTTCCATCAAGCTGATGAGGTCCATTTTGCAAGACGTGTGTTACATTTGCTGGGTCTGAAAAGGTCACGAAACCAAATCCTCTGGACCGTCCCGATTCACTATTTTTCATTACCACACAGTCAATGACCTCTCCATAGCGACCAAAATACCTCTGCAAGGCCTCTGTTATGATAGAAAACTAAAATTAGGTATTCTGTCCTGCATAACAAGAGTACGCACATTGTCTAGTTCATAATTATACCTTGTGTAGTTTCCCAACTAAGACCACCGACAAACAGTTTTCTGCAGAGAAAAGAGCAGCATTACAAAATATGTTGAACAGATGTAAGGGACCAAAATGTTAAATTAACTGGGAGAATTAACCAGTGAAATTGAGACAGGAATAAACAAATTTGCCTTTCTTACAACAGTGAAAAAACAATTGATAAGGTGTCTTAACAGTCCTTCCATTCTACTAGCCGACAGGAAAGGTAAGAAAAGTCTCACACCGTATCCAAAGTTTATTCCCAGGCAATAACCTGACAACAGGATTCTTGGAATTTTTAAGTACAGATATTTAAAAAGTAATATCTATTCAGGAAGAAAAATCAAAACAATAATTCATGCCTAGGCCCTACTTCCTGACAATTGCTGCTCAGAACGGTCAGGTTTTCCTAAATTCCTAAGAACATGACAACCCTGTAATTCATTGATTACTATTAGTTGGAAAGAAAAGCATACTTCCGTTCTGAAAGCACTTAATGCTGAGAGCCCTGGTGCGCAAACATTTCCAAACAAATGACAAGGGTCAATCACCTTAGATAATATTATCAGCTTCCTTCAATTAAAAACAAAGTGCAGAGCTAGCCACAACTTCCCAGACAAATTCCTACAGTTACCACAGACAGCTTATCTCAATACAGAGAAACACTGATCAGCATAATGTATAAGGAACAATTAAAGTGATAACCATGCATACAATAATATGACTGCTCCTCACACCTACAGATAGCATTTCAATGGAGTACTGCCAGCTTAAGCTTGGAAAAATTGAGGGAGCTTTTAACTGACCACAACACAAAATGTAGGCCTTTTGATACAAGAAACATGAGGGTCAGCAAGGAAACAGAAACTGACAGCTTTGAATGGGATTCTGGAGGTAAGGACTAGGATCAGAAACTAGAAAAATTGGACATTTGACTAGACAAATGTAATAAAGGTAGAAAAGAATTCTGCTTGCAGAAAATTGCTCCGAACAAATGGCTTTGGTAGTAAGAGCACAGTAGAGGAGAGTACATTAATGCTTAGGAACCAAATCCCACTGAACTGTAGCACTCATCTAACTATAACAAAATACTGTACTGATCCGTTTTAAAACATTTAAGTAACGTAGAAACTGCAGCAACATGACTCAGCAAGCAATTTTGAATGCCAGTATCCCAAATTTGAAGTTGTGAAAGCATGCAAATGCCATGGTCAATAGATGGAACTGAAGAAGTTCAGTCCAGAAACCGCTTAATAAACTACCCGAACAGATATAGGTTTCGAGTATACAGGCATTTTGAGCGTGGATAGAAGGGAAAGGTGAGCACCCTCAAATTGGGCCATCGGTTTCGCACAGTAGACATCACCCGAACGGAGACAAGAGTGAGCCAACGAAAAACTAGGCTGAGTAAAGAACTAGCTGCAAGAAACGTAGCTAGAGTAGACTACGCAGGCATCAACATTATACTAAGAAAACGGCGCTGAGGCTCGGCAGTAACATGGCCGCCGCAAGGATTTTAGGTGACATCGACCCATCTTTGGGTCGAACCGGCCGCTTTCCAAGGTAAACGTATAGGGCCAATTTCGAGACTAAAACATTCTGAATGACTCCACCAGTCCCCTTGATCGTTTGGTAGAGAAAAATGCGCCCAGGAAGCATTTCTCCAGAAGAGAGAAATGCACACCACGCCATGGCTAGGGCAGGGCATGGACGCGGCCTCAAGCCGGCGAACAAAAATAACAGACATTTCCACACACAAGAGCAGCTAAATACGGGTCTCGGACGTAATTCAAAGCCTCCTTACCCCTTCTCGTCGTCGTCAATTTCATTTTTAACCCTCATTCTAGGTAAAATTAAAAGAAGTTATCGGACAGTGCCTCTCCACGTCCTCAGTGAAAGCGGCAGGCAGAGCGGCTGATGGCGGCTGGGAACGCGAGAGCCGTAATGGCGGAGCTGAGGCGAACTGCTTCCGGTTGGGAGCGATGTTGTTGGTCCGGCCGGAGAAGGCCGGTGACGTGACGTGGATACTACGTGCGTCAAGGGTGCTCTAGCAGACATTATCGATTGAACGTACTTTCTGACCGAAATACTAAAAAATCAAACGATTTCCACACGCGATTAGAGAGATACTATTCCAATCTACATGGTTGAATGTCTTCTGCGGACATAAGCCCGATAAAATGTATTTTAACAGAAAACTGGATGTAAGTAATGAAGTAGCGCCGGTCACCGCAGTCGACTGTGAGCTCATTCGATGGTCTCGATATCCCCATTTGTCCCGTTCAAACTCTTTTTATTCCCTGTCTCTTAATCTTGAAAAGTCACACCAATGTTTAATAAAACTCTGCTGCATGTGCAGCAATTCCTGTCAGCCAGGTAAAGCAGCTTAACTCATCAAGCGGTCATCTTTCGGTACTCTGGCTGACTACTGACTGCGCTTCCGGTATGCCGAAAAATCGGGATTCTGTGAACTTTTTATTCCATTTTGACAGTCCATTTTACTCAGTATTTGCACCACAAATTTCTCAGACAAGCAGCAAATCCTTCTGATGCAGTTTTGTCCCATCCCCGAGCCATTTTAATAGGCCTATGGGCCTATGGGCCCGTTCAGCGGTCTGCATACTGCAATGAATGAATCGCCAACTGATTCATTCGGGGGAGGTGGGCGTTGTTATCGCCACCGGCCTCGACCGCGACCTGGAGGGACTAGCCTGGACCCGCCGGGACTCGCCGGACACAGACTGGAGACCGTCGCACATCTGTCTCCTCGGCTTAGGGGAAGGTCCGCTACCCCGTGAGCTCTCGTCGCCTCCTTCCCGGCCTCGCGCGGAGTCTTCGAGCGGCGAGTTTGATTTCTCCCGCCCCCGGCGTCGTTGGCCGGCTTCCTTTCTCCCCCCTTTCCCGTCGCGGGGCGCGGGGCGCGGGGGCTACACACGGGCGGGCGGGGCCGCCGGCCGCCGCCGGGCCGGGCCCCGCGACGGGGACGGCACGGTGGAAGGTTCATTCGCCTCTCACTCACCCCGCGCCTGCGCAGCCAGCGCCTGCGCACGGCCCATCCCGGTGAGAGGGCCCCGCAACATGGGAGCTGAGCTGAGCTGAGCAGAGCGGATCATCTGGCGACTGGGCTGGGCGGCGTTAGGCCGCGTGACGGGTTGGACTCGAACTGTATGACTGCGCTTCAACGAGGACCGAGAGCAGCGCAATGATTAGCCCAAGTTCAAGTTGCAGAGTGCCCCAGTGCAATTCCAAATGGCAAGCTCATTGCGGTTTGTAGTCTTGCAGTGTGTGACCCCCCCCCTAATGCCGTCGGCCCCTACTCGACGGGCGCAGCCGTGCAGCAGTGGGGCCTTCTCGTGCCTGTGTCTCGACTCGTCGGGGCGAGGGGACGGGGTGGGGTATGGTGGGGTGGAACTCGAGGAACTACTTGCCGGCAGCATCCAGACCCCCAGGGCGGGGGGAGGGGTGGGGTGGGGTGACGCTCCAGACACACGACGCCAGGGTTCGGGGAGGTCCTTCCTTTGGTTTGGTCCGCAGCAGTCAGTCTCAGTCAGTGAGTGGCTGCCGACACGGGGAGAGCAGGTGAGTCCAGGCCCGTCACGTGGCGGAGCGTAGAGGAGCTGGCCCACCTCATGTCCTACAGCACGTCCGCCTGTCCGTCACGCCGACGCCCGTCTCTTTCGTTTTGCTGGCTTTGCATCCAGCGATCTGCACTCGGGTTGCCCGTGCCGCCGCGCCGCCCCTGCTGCGGCATGACCTCCCATGCCATTGTCGCTTCTCTGTTTCTCACAATCGACAACTTGTCTCCCAAGCTCGCCGTAGATCAGCCGGGTCCGTGCTGAGGCGGTGTGAGGGTGACGGCGCGGGGTGGCGTTGACGCTGCAGTGCAGTGGGCTGGACTGTCATTTCCAATCTCACCCCGCCTTGTTCGCAGGCCGCCCCCGGGACCACATCGGCGGCGGAGAGCCGGCGGCAAAACGGCCCCTGTTTCAGGCCGCCCTCCTTCCCACCCCACCTCCAGGACCCGCCCCGCCTCGCCCCGCCCCGCCTCGCGCTCTCGGAAGATGTCTGCAGCGGCTGAGGTTGAGGCGGGTCTGGCGGACGTGAGGCTCGGGCCCACAAGGCCCCGCAAGTCGGAGCCCCAGGCCCCGGCCCTTCTCAGTGTGGCCCCGACCGCCGGTCTGCGCGCATCGCCAACATGCCCCCCACCTTCGACCTGCGCGACGAGGACGACGACGACGACCATGACTACCTCCGCGCCGGGGTCAGTGGCGACGGCGTGCGTGTGCTGAGGTCCGTCTCCGCCCCCGCGCCCACGCTCACGCCGCAGGCCTTCAGGTTGCCACCGCTCCGCCGCCGCCCAGCCGCGTCCAGATCCACCCCCGCCATGCTGCTGCGCCGCCCCCGCCGCTGGCTGCAGTTGTGCGCCGGCGTCATCATGGGGCTTGCCATTGGGCTGCTCGTCGGCACTGCAACCAGGTGAGGAGCCTGACACCGCCACCGCTGACACCCAAGGTACCCGACTTGCCGACCCTAAGGTGTCCGACTCGCCCACCCGAAGGTATCCGGCCATACAGCCTGAATCCCACACACGCGTTACTTCAACCCAAAACATGAACTCGAGCTTTACGTACACCCCAAACTGTCACTCTCCGCTAGGACGGCGGCGGACGGCGGACAACGGGGATGTCCTCCGTCGCGGGCGTCGAGGTCTCTGGCCGGCGGGCGCCACCCCTCACCCCCCGCTCCACCCCAGGCCCAGGCCCCGACCCCCGCCCCCAGCCGGAGACCGCCGTCGCCAGCACCCGCCCCCTACCTTCAACTTGACCTCCGGCAGGATCAGTAGCGCTGGCGTCGTGCAGTGCGTTTGAGCCGCGAGTCAACACGAGATTGTGGCGCCGGCTGAGAGAGGTAGGACCTCTTAGGGATAGGCAGGCAGGAAGGAAATGTGCAGAAATACGCCGATCGACTTCTCGAGGGTGGCAGTTCCTTCACCTCGCAGGTGGACACCAAGCCCCCGTCTGCTGAGTCCGCGTACTTTTAGGCCACAGACTGACGGATCGATGTAACTGGGCCTCACTCCGGCGCTGAGCAAAGGCCAGAGTCCTTCGGGGGCCGGCGAGCCAGCCGGAGCCGCAGGTCGCTCGCGCTCAACGACCCGTCCAGACGGGCATGCAGCTTCTCCAAAATAAGAGAAAGAAAGACCAAAGTTTACAAACAATGGCCGCTCGATGCCCAGTTGTGCCCTTGCGTAGTCGCACACGTTTTACTCTTTGGGCGGCCGCCGGTTTTGTTACTTTTCTTCTGGCCCTTTGCCATATTCTCCGATATGCAAGAGCGTATGCGAGAGCGTATGCCCCAACTCTCCTGGTTTATGCCAAAGCGGTGCGCTTTACTCTAAACGCTTTACATACGCTCTCGCATATCGGAGCTTAGGTGAATATACCAGGTGGCTGATTCACGCCGCGCACTTCTGTAGGTATACTGTACCGCATGCACGAGTGCGGGCGGGCTTGCCTGTTGCCCCTGTCCACGGCGCCTTGCGAGCCGAGCGAGTAGGCAACCCGCCCGCACTCGTGCATGCGGTACAGCATAACTACAGAAGTGCGCGGCGTGAATCAGCCACCTGGTGCAGCACGTATTGGTCCTGCTGGGAACCCGACAGCATGATGTATAATCAGCAGGCCAGCTGACGTGAGGGGTGTGTGAGGGGTCCCCTCTCGGAGGGGAGGACGGAACAGCCCGGTCCAGCTGACTTCTCAGGTTATTGCCCCCCGAGCATAGTAAACGCGCGCCGATTTGAATCTAAAACACCGACAACTTTAAAGTGGCAATTTGTTGCGTGTTTTTTTTCTACGTATACTTCAATAAGCCCCCCCC